GGTACGGAGAGGCATTATTTAACTCATCATCCTTATCCACGCTGGGGTTTATAGTGGACTTGAAATATTTCCAAGTTCTAATCAATTGCAGAGAAATCATGCAAACTGGTATGTGGACTAATAACATCTCTTCCTTCAATATATATATGTCCCGCCATTATAAATTTTCCTATATATATAGTTCATGCAAACAAATATACATCATGATAAGATATTATTAACTCATAATGCATCTACAATCAAAGATGCCATATATAGAGGATATTCCTAGTTGTGCACTATATATATGGATGATCACAACGAGCCTTCACCAATTGCTTAATGTTGCTTATACTTCATGAAGTTGCTTAACGAGTTCTCATAGATCAATGCATTCTTGTATATTATTAATTTAAAAAGTTTCTTTGTGGATAGAAGATTTTAGCACGTAAACTTCCAGGAGAAATTCTTTTGATAAACTAGAGCTAAGTTCTTTGTGTGGATTCTTGACATTGTCCACCTTATAAAAGTAGCAAGGGTAAGAAATTATGTATGTTTTCTCCCATGCATTTACATGATCACATATAAATATAATCCACTATGCATGATAGCAACTTGAGAGTGACCTTTGACGTTGGTCAAGCCGGCCTATATATGGAGTTTTATTATTCTATAGATATTTTGATTTCAGGGATGAATTAAAGATTTTGGATTTTGATGAGATGTTTCTCAAAATTTTATACTCATCATAAGTTAATTTGATGGATCCATTCTCCCCATTTGATCTTAGATTGAGGCCATAATTAGCAAAAACATGTTATATTATTTGTGTTCTTAAATTCTTACTTCTCATTTTCCCCCTCCATATTCGTACGTAGTATCTTGCTTTTCTCAAGTATTCTGCACTTATGCAAATTCCATGATTTATATGTAAGCATATTTACAAACAATATATGCTATAAATTTGAATAAACTGAATGCGGAAGAGATCGGTATACCTCCGGCCATTGACGCCATTGCTTGGAGATGCCTTGACGCTCTGTGTTTTGGTGTTCTTCTAAGCTCTCAAACACTCTTATGATGGTGTACAGAAAATAACAAGAGAGAGTAATTAAGCTTAGGGACCCAAAACCCTTTTTAATTGTATTTATAGATATGCTCCCATCAAGCACACACTTAGGAGTTAGGGGTAGTTATCACAATGATCAGATTAATCATCCAAAACTTGAGCGGTTACAACAAATTATGAACGTTAGACCACTTTTATGGCTAACCATTTCATGGGTGGTTAACACCACACCATGAATCTAGGTAACAAACTCACATTATATGCTTCTGAGATTTGCTGTGATCTAGCAAAATTTCACTAATTAATCAGTGAAAAAAGTCCAAATTCAGAGTTTAGAGAGTGACGCATTGTTATGTCTAAATTAAGTATTTAATAAAAAGATAAAATTTAGCAGGCTTGAAAACATTTTTAATCCGTTTTGATTCATTGAAGTTGTGTATAAATTAATTGTTTGTTGTACCAAGAATTTTCGAATTCATTAAAGTTATATCCATTTGGTACCATGTCCCATGTCACCATATCATGTCCCATAAAACAAATTTTCCATAAAATACAAATAATTTATCAAGTTTTCCGTAAGCAATAATACAAAAATCTATTATTTAATTGTCATTGTTAATAATCTATTGTTTCGTACGTGTTTCTTTTCTTGCTAGCATAATTCGTTTTGTTTGTAGCTGAACTTTTTTTTATGTAATAAATCATTAATAATTCTCTTCATTGGAACGTAGCTACTGTATTCAAGGCTGATCATGGTTCTAAAGATTTAGTCTCATAACGTTGAGAAATACTGAACAAAAAAAGAAAAAAAAGAAAAAAAAAGCATTACATCATTCCATCAATTAGCGATAATCTTCTCTCTTTATTGATTGTAACACAACATTCCACAACACAGCAAATTAACTGAAGATTTGCTTTCCTAAACAAACATTTCCAAAAACAAAAGTACACAGAAGAAGAAGAAGAAACATTCAACAGAAGTAGACATGCATGAAAATAACTCCAAAGCCAAGAATCAGACTTGCCTAAAATCTCCGAGTAACCATCATCAACCCTTCTTCCTCTTCATCTTCATCCTCACCTCTTCTTTCTTGCCATCGAAATCCATGGCGAAACTCTTAGTCTTCATCGATAACCGGATCTTTCGATGATTCGTCGTCGACCAACGGGGAGCCATAGCCGCCATAGTCCTTTTCCCAAGAAAGATTCAGGGGTTTCAGATATGCTAACTGTCACTTTAATTTGACTCCAATTTCATAGGAGTGTGAGAAGAGAGGATATATAAATAGAGGGTTGGTCCTGAATCATTTTAATGGGAGGTATTGGTTGGTTACTCCCCACTTCTTATTGGAAGAAAAAGGAGGAGAGCCAAAGGGAAGAAGACATGCAATAGAGGACTACACCTCATATACCCTTCATTAAATTATTGGTCACCGAGGTAGGGCCTAGGTGTATCTTGTGCTAAGTATCAAAACAAGAAATGTACAAGGTGTAGCTTGGATATTTGGCTAACTAGGTTTTAAGCATGTGCAGTGCACGTTGTTGAATATCATGATTTAGGCTCTGTTTGGCAAAAGTAACTGAAAGCTAAAAGATTATAGCTGAAAGCTGTTAAGCTAGCTGAAAGCTGTGAAATTATAGCTGAAAACTGTTAGCTGTGTAGCTAGCTGATTGACTAGAGCTGTTTGGCAAAAATAGCTGTACAACTAGCTTAAATTTGTTAAATGACTAAAAAATACATGCAATATTATTGATATAAAATTAGAATTATTAGGGGTAAAAACGGAAGAAAATAATTAACAGCTCATTCCCAAAGACAAACGCTACTTGAGGTAGCTTTCCAAAAGCTACTTGCAAAAGACACAATCTCCAAAATAATCTCCTCATATTTTTGGTCACCAAACAGCTCTACTAGCTTATTGACAAAGTCAATAAGACACAAGCTCTTAGATAAGACATTTTTTTTGGTTGCCAAACAATGCCTTAGTATTTCTGGTTTATTTCATTACTAAAATTTATTTCTCAGTTCCATTTTGATTGGTTTTGCTCACTTATGTCTCTAAACATTACCATTGTGATTATTTATTTTCTTTGATATTCGTTTAAATGAACTACACCCGTTTTAAATTTTTACATTGATAATTGAATTGATAGGAAATAAATATAATCAGAAACCGATTTGAATTATCATGTTATGTTATTTGGACAGACATGAAATCAAGCTTGATTTGAGAAAGTACAGTATTGTAAAAGTAAAAAATACTTGAAAAAATAGCATTATAAAAGGAAGATGAATAATTAAAACTAATAATATAAGATGATTGGCTAAAAATGGACTAAAACGGCGCAAAAGAGACTATGGAGCTTGTTCCTATACCATAATAGATTTTAAAAAAATTAAAAATTAAAATTAATGTTAACTCCAATACATTTTTACACTGTGAAAGCATCCACATAAACCTTAAATTGAAAGTTAAATTTATATATCTTAATGAAAGGATATCAAACAACTACTCTTTTATTTGCTAAGTCTTGAATTTTTAGTCATTTTTTGTGATTTTGAATTTTTAAGGGTGTGTTTTGCAGATATTTTTAAAACTTTGAGAGTATTTTTTGAAAATTTTTAATTTTAAGTTGGGTGCTCGTGATTTTCACGTTTCATACGTTGGTGGTAAGTTTTTGAATGTTAAGATATTTCTTGCAACTCTAAAATTTGGAGGGTATTTTTTTTATAATTATTAAAACTTTGGATTGTTTTTGTAAAAATTAAATTATCAGCAGATAATTTTCAGCAATCTGCTGATAATTTCTAGATTTGATATGTACTGGTTATAGGTCTTAAAATTTTAGGATCTTTTAACGATTTTTAACTTTTGAAGGAGTTTTTTACAATTTTCATAACTTAAAGGTTATTTTTTGCAAATTTTCAATTTTCATGTGACTGATACTAATCCCTTGAATTCGTCTTTATTGTTTGCCAGTTTTAAAAATTTTGAATTTCATGATGCTTTTTTATTATTTGAACTTTTGAGAGTATTTCTATAATTTTTGAAACGTTAAGTGTGTTAGTTGCAAGTTTTAAATTTTTCGGAGGCTGTTGTTAATTTTTAGATTTCATATTTGTTATTTTTTAAGTTTTAAAACGTTGGGATATCTTGTGTGATTTTAAAACTTTGAGAATATTTTTTGTAATTTTTGACATGTTTTGGGTTATTTTGTAATACTTTATACATTATAGCATCTTAGTTATTTACCTTAATAAACTAATACAGTGAAGTTGTTTCATATATTTTATTAATCTTTTTTTTAAATTGTTGAGCTGTAGGTAGTTCACATGGGATTATGTTAGGATATAATTATAATTACGATATATTAAGATTTAAATAAAATATTCTAAATAGTGGAGGATAATCTTGACCGTAGAAAGCTTTTCGTAAACTTGTACTTTTAAAAGGAAAATATGATTTGTCGTATATCCAAGTAGGCGTCTGTCTCCGAGCAACACGACACAGTGATCAGGAATTTAGACATCTCTCTTCTCCTGATCATCTGAATGTATGTTCTACATCTATTTTCTCTAATTAATAAATAAGTTTTCCTGATCATCTTAGTTTGGATATCAAAAGAAGGACGAGTGCTTGAATCTGCATTTCAAAAGAGAAGAATCCTTTGTCTATACTGGTACTATATTTTTTCTTTCTTAAATCATCAGCTGTCCAGTAAACTTTCACTAAATAATATCTTCAATGGTTAGTTGACAAGCCCGCCCACTTCCATTGAATTCTTTGTCTGCCGAAGAGAGGATTCAAATGGACCTTGGGCTGCCCCAGATAGAGTGCATTTAGATTGAAGCCCATTTGTTTAAGTGGGCCACATGCGGTAGAGCATTGTACCCAGGCCTTTAAAGCCCAAGGCCCTTGCATGCTGAGGCCATCCGTTAGCGGTTGTCCAGTGGATGGCTGTCCTTCGAACACACCATCGCCTCATCAGGCTCTTCGTCTTCTCTTCCACTCTCTCTCTATCTCAACCGCACTCTTTCTCTCTCTAAAACTCCTTCCATTTTCTCTCTCAAGCTGAGGATGGCAGCAGCAGTGCAGTCTCTTGCTATCTCTTCCTCCATTGCAGCTTGCCCACGCCATCATCAGCCTCCTTCAGGTCTCCCACTCTCCCTCCCTATCATTTACTCTCTCTTTTTGTTTCTTTTTTATTTTTTTTGCTGTGTAAATTTGCAGGAAAACCCACATTCTGGTTTTTTTAATCACATTTCTAGTAGTACCATCTTGCAATTTGGCAAAAAAAAAAAAAAGAAATTCAGCTGCAGAGACATAAGAATGTGTTGGATATTGATGTGGTGATGATTTTGGATGTGGGTCCCCCTCATTTGGTTTTTTTTTTTTTTTGCCCCCTTGCATTTCTTAAGATATGGAGCTCTATAAGAATTACTCAAAAAAGTTGCACTTCTATGGTGTAGAGGCCAAGTTTTTTTAGGGTTTGTTGATGACGAACCCCCCCCCCCCCCCTCTTTACACCAATTGCGGTAAACTCCTTCGGTTCTATGGTCGCCGGATGGAATTTTGTACTATTTGCCCAATTGCGGATAGAACCCTTGAGTGATTTTCCCCCTCTTAATAAAATCCACAAAATTTTAACTCTTGATTTAACTAGTCAACTTATATAAATTACATTCTATAAAAAAGCAAATAATACGTCAGTTAACTCGGGATGCAGTTATTAGGATCAGAAATATGAGCAGTTGTGTATAAGTTCGGCTAACTAATGATAAAGAATTAAGCACACATGAAGAATGCGGTTAACCACTGTCTCTATTAAACTGCTTTTCATGACATTTCCCAAGCTACTGAACTTGCCGTTTCATTAAACTTGTAAACCCCACAATTTCCAACATTTCCAAGATTTAATTAGCATAATGTTTTCATTGAATTCATCTGATGTCACTAGGGTATATGTGAGAACATTGACACAAATCCTTGCCATTCATATGCTTTTATCCTTCACTCTTACGCAGGACTAGTATCCCTCTCTCACGTTATTTGCTCGAGCACACGATCCTCATTCACTGGGCTCTCATTGCAGTTTTCTCCTCGAAGGCAAACCCAAATAAGGAAAATCACACGAGGGCCTGCTCCAATTCTGATGATGGCGAGGCCGTCAATCCAGTTCATCCCAGGAACCGACGAGCAAACTGTACCTGACGTGAAGCTAACAAAATCGCGAGATGGTACAAATGGTGTTGCAACTTTTAGCTTTGACGAGCCTTCTGTTTTCGATTCATCTGCTGAGCTTGGTGACATTACTGGTTTTTACATGATCGATGAGGAGGGCACGCTTCAGTCTGTTGATGTTAGCGCTAAGTTTGTCAATGGAAAGCCTGCGAGAATAGAAGCCAAGTATATCATGAGGACTCCAAGAGAATGGGACCGATTCATGAGGTTTATGGAGAGGTACGCGAATGCCAACGGCTTGCAGTTTGTCAAGAAATGAGGCAGAGTATATTCTTGGCTTAATTCTTGCTCCCCTATTTTTATTTTCTATGTAAGTTTCTTGTAATTTGAACATTATTGGTTGGCAAAATTTTGTCTAAGTTTACTTATACTGAAGTTTGATATTTCAGGTTTCAAATGGTTATATATATGTGTGAGTGTCTGGGTTACATGCGCAGAACTATATATCAGATGTAAAATGTGAATACAATTTCTGATTGCATTGGCAATCATCAAAAATTGGTTAATTGTGGATAGCCCCTCTTACTATTGCCAAATTGCAGATGGACCCCTCGTAATTATATTGTACCAGATAGGCCTTTCAAATGATCTTTTTGACTCTTTTACCCTGGGAGAGAAAGACAAAACTTTTTTTTTTTGACAGGTAGACCTCCTGAGAGTAACAGAGTCAAAAAATTTCTCCCAGGGGGTCTACTTGAAAGAATAGAACTAGAAGGAGTCTATTTGCAATTGGGCAATACTAAGAAGGTGTTATCTGCAATTAATCCTTTTAAGAAAGACAAGACGACATTGATCCGAATAAGGCTGGTGCAGATCTGGTTAAATTTTGTTTATCATAGAAATGCAATCTTCTTGTTCTCCGGAGTTCATTGATGGTTTCCTGTTGAGACTTGATCATAGCTTGCTGCTCATCAAGTCTTTTGACAAGATCATCAGGGTGTCTCGCCATATAAGCGGAGCTCTCGTGTTCTACGAAAGAGCTAGATGATTGAGATTCTGTGATGGTTGGGTGTTCATCATCAGACTCAATTTCTTTAGCCAACTTTTGATAATTGACAGGGAGTATGAGTCCCTTTCGAGTCCGAGTGTATTGATAGATTCCATCAGACTCCCTCATGATCTCTTTCATGCCAGGAGACTGGTCCGCCTCTAACTCATCGGAGTTAGAGATTGATGACATTCTTATACCGATCAAATTGGAAGTAACTCCAATGTATTCATCCTTTGAAGTTTTATACTTATGAGAACGTCGTCGCTTGTTGGGCAAGGCAACGTTCGTCAATCGGTCGAACACTAACAGTCTTGGTGAAGGTGCACAACATTGACATTCTGAAGGGAGTGCAGAGATAAGTCGTTCACATTGTCAGGTGGGAGTGACTCGTTGCACAGCTCGTTCTCTTGATAGGAACTCTCTCAAGTCTGTTGCAACGACTCGAGATGAGTTACTCACAGTTCGTGAGGTTTGAACTGCAACCCCCAGTCTATGATTGTACAGTATTGGCTCCCGGTGAACATGGATCTTGAATCCCTGCTCATCCTTTTGAACGCGACGTATCACATTGTGTTTAGTATTAGAAACGTGTGAGTCGTGTTTTAATACTGAAATAAGAGGGTCGCGTCGAAGAGTAAGAACGCGAAGGTCGCGTTGAGGAGTAGGAACGCGAGGGTCACGTTAAGGAAGGGAAACGAGAAGCTAAGATTCACGTTCAACGCGGACTTGAGGTTCGTGTTTTAGCTGTGGAACGTGACGTCGAGGGTCGCGTTCAATCTGGCTTTTGTGAGGTTCGCGTTTAAGCACATAAACGCGAGGCTTGCGTTCTTCAGTAGAAACGTGAAGCTCAGGGTCGCATCTTGGCTCACATCGCGTTGATTGGTTGATCGGCTTTCTCGGAGTTGTCCACGTCGTAGGGATCTTCTTCTTCGATGAGCAGCATTCCTCTTTGCCCGAGTTAGGGCTTGTGCAGCTACGTCACCATCTGTACTGATCAGGCTAATCGCCAGCGTACATCTCTTACGACCCAATATCTGTTGTTTAGGCACAGGTATATGGTCTTCAACTCGGTCGACGAGTTCAGTTGAAGCCAAATCTTCTCCTTCTGAGGGAAGACTGTATGAACAATACGATTGAAGGGAAAGATGTAAAACCCCACAAATTTAAATATTATGTGATAAATGATATTTAATATGTTATGCTGTGATAAATAGCATATTTTTGATGTTTAAGTATATTAGGAATTGATTTGAGATCAATTCGGCTATATATTCCCGAATATGAGAATGAATCAACTTGCACAGACCCTTAGTAGTCGACTAATGTACAGTGTAGTCGACTACTAATAGCCCATAATCAATTGACAGAATTTTATATATGACAGTGTAGTCGACTACTAAGCAAGAGTAGTCGACTATCGAGAATTCCTGGACATGTCAGGTTTTAGTTTTCAGGTCAGATTTGTGTTGTTTCCAAACCCAATTGATATCTTCGGTTTTTAAACATGTAAAACCCCTAATTTCTGAGAGAATTCACCAGAGTTTACATGCACCTCCTTCCTCCTAAACCCTAGAGCCGATTTTGAGTTCCTCGAGGCGTTTTGAGACGTGACATCGAGCAGAGGGAGTGATCGAGGGTTGTAGCTGAGGAAAGGAGTTTGCACACATGTTTAAGAGATGAACACAGTGATTGAGACAAGATCTCCTGCATCCAAACCTTACCCATAGTGTAGATCTTGGGTTTATTAAGTAATATGGATATTTTGATGCTTAGATCTAATTGTTTAACATAATAAAAAGAGGACTTTTGATATAAAATCTTAACCTGATGTTTGATCTACATGTTTTGATTGTTGTTTATAATAGAAACGTGATCATGATCATTAGGGGGTTTAAATCTTTGTTTGTATCTTGTTTTTTATATGTTAATCATGCTCAAAACCCTAACCTTGTGATATAAATAGCTTACATGTTAATTAAGTCTGTTTAAACCCTAGGTTTGGGGTACTTTGGTTCTGTAAATGTGAATAAACAAAATTATATAAGTTTCAAGCTTATTATGCAAGCATGTTCATGTTAATTTAATCGATAACTAGGGTTTATGTTAATTTCTTGACTAATGAGAAGATTAAACCTAATTAGTTAAATTAAGGGTCTAAATAATCATGGAGATGATTCTTTTGATTTGAAATTTACTTGCTTTGTACTGTATTAAAGCATGATAAACATGTGATGTTTGCTAAGTGTTATATTTTACACGGATGTATGTTGTTTCTGCTTAGTAGTCGACTACTAAGAGAAGTAGTCGACTACTAATGTCTAATTTGTTCTACAGAAACTGTTTAATTACAGAGTAATCGACTTGAACAATGTAGTCGACTACTAATACTGATTCATGTTTTTGCAGAGTATGAGTAGACTCAGTGTAGTCGACTACTAAGCTTAGTAGTCGACTACTAAGGTTGATCTTCCTGATGTTGTTTTGTTTTGATTTGAGATGCGAGCTCGAGGTTCGAGTTGCATGATAGTACTTATGTGGTCATAATTATATATGAATTGTGTTGTAGTACACGTGTTAGTACCCTAGAGGGGGATTGTTTACGTCAGGAACAAGTTCTGTTGTAGAATTCATTATAACTGTTTATCGATTATAATGAATGCAAAAGAGTGAGCTTCGTACTTTGTAAAACTACTATTTACAACAAAAATCAAATTACAAGCTCCTTAGAAACAAACGCGGGATTATTGTTTGGATCGCTGCTTGCGTGTGATCTTTGCCTGTGCCGGGGGTGCGTTAGCCCGTGGACCACCGATTCACAGATTCTGGTTGAATCGTGAAGGTTTTGGGGATTCTTTCTTCGTTTATCAAAGTAAGAATTTAAAACGAATATCTTATCGATGTAAGATGTTCACTCTTCTAAAGATCAAGTCAGAGCTTAGATCTCTAGGAATCGCTAAAAGCTTCTTGAGGATGTTTGTGAAGAAGGAAGACTCTCTCTCTTGCTCAAATTCACTAAAAGCTCAAGTCTCTCTCCTTACTTGCTCCCCCCTAATCTGCCCTAATTTGCTCGATCTTCTTCGAATTGCTCTAAAATGCTCTCCCCCCTTTATTTCGTGTCTAGGGAGGTATTTATAGGGGTAGGAGTGCACAACAGTTGAAACGGGAGCGAAGTAACCGACCAGATGACTGTTCTTTGGCCGCGACAGTCGACATTGCCGCGGCTATTGGCGCGACAGTGTGGACTGTCGCGGCCAAAGAGGCGGTTACCAGCACGTTCCATCGTGCTTGAAATTGTTCTCCCACGATCTTTAACCACTTTTTTCGTGGTTTAACTGCTTGTCCACATCAGCACACGTTCTATTTCTGATATGCTACTACGTGGGCTTTAAAAAATCATTGTATAACTGTCTTGTAACCACCGCAGCACGCCTTGTAATAGCCGCAGCACCATAGGGTGTCGCGCCTTAGCCGCGACACCACAGGCTGTCACGCCTTAACCGTGGCACCATGTACTGCTGCGCCTCAGCCGCACCGCCATGTACTGCCTGTTGGTGTGTATGTTGTCTCACTTCCTTTGATGATCCCCTCTGATTAAGAGAATGGCGTTTATCGTCTTCTCTTTGCCTTGAGTGGTATTTGGATGTTTGTAAGCATTTTTTGACGCTTACAGATACCCCCTCTAAAGTATTCCATACTCATTCTTTTATAGAGGAGTCTTGGATACTTTGGATAAGATAGATTTTATTTACGATCTCTTCAATACTTGGTTAAGTAGATCATGTAGAAGGATCCGTAAATGGTTTCAACTCCTGATCTCTTCATCTCTTAGTCTATTCAGTTCTTTGTAGAATAGCTAATACTCTTCCGGTACTGCGTTTATCGCTTGACCGTTATCGAGATCTTAAATCGAAACTGGTATTTCTTTGACTTTTGTCACCAAATTGATACTTGTATGTCCTTCGAGAGTTCGTCAGGTTATCCTTAAGAATATTCAGAATAATATTCTCCAGAAACTGCCTGTCGAATGTAGGAAAATAGTTTAGACTCGTATACCTATTGGAGTATTCTGGTCTTTTTTTGTTGGTAGAGGTGAACCCGATGATGGAGAGGAAGAATTTTATATTCTATCTCCTGGTCTCTTTTTTGTTGGTAGAGATAAACCCAAAATTTAGAGAGGAAGAATTTTATATTCTATCTCCAGGTCTAAAGAAAACTCAAAGTGGGATCCCCACTTAGAGAATCTGGACAGGTTTGAATAATCCTAACTGTCATAAGGTTTGATTTTTTAACTTGAAAATTGACCCCTCGTTCGTGTAACGAATCGAGAGAAGATTCTGGTTGTGGTCCTAACTGTAGTAAGGTTTGACCAAGTGGGGGTTTGAGACGATCCTAATTGTTTAAAAGTTTGATCGCTCGATTTGCAGACTTCTCGTTCATGG